GGGGGGGGGGGGGAATTCGGGCAAACGCTAGGAAAAATCAAGAAAATTCGGGCAGATTTATCAGAAAATAGGTTAAATTCAGGCAATTTCATAACAATCCACCATAAAAATTCGGGCAAACTTTCAACTGCCCCCTTGGAAAGTATCAGCCCCGTACGGCTATGACGACGAAGAAACGAGGTCCATGCAAAAAACAGAGGTCTGATATTTCACCAGTACAGACCGAACAAGCGAGGTCAATAATCGGTTTATTATATGGCTGAACTGAGTCTGTGAGCATATGCTTTTCGCGCGAATTAAATCGGCTATAGTAAGTTTCACTGGGTAACAATATGCGGTAGGCATACATGCTCGATCAAAAACAATTTGGTTGTTTGAAATTTTTATCTGTAAAGCACAATTGGAAATTTAAAAAGCAAAATTTTTTTCTGTTTGCAAAGCAAAAATTTCCCGCCAGATAAACGACATCCGGGACACCGGTCCAGATACGGAAAATACGGACCACGGTCCGGATATGGGTTTTTACGGACCGCTTGTCAACCAATAAGAATAGAGAATTTTGAAAAGCCATATAATAAAAACGTTTATTACAGTGTTAAAGAAAGCAATAGCTATTTTTGGCAATTTAAAATCGATAGACCGCGCGGTGGTAGCGTATATAAAGGCGAGGCTTCACTTTTTAACTGCCAACTGAGTCTTATCGTTTCAGGTAAAGTAAAAAAAATGAGTCCTCCACTATGCGATGATGCTCACATAGTGGAAGAAGTTTTTAGTGTTTCTAGTTATCGGTGGGAAAGGATAAACATTGTTTGAATAGATATTTATGAACAGTGGCCTCTCTTTTCCCTTAAATTTGCCCGTGAATAACTAAAGTAAAGTCACCCCAATACATCTCGTATGCTCCCGACAATCCGCCATATTTTTGAGATCAGTGGCACATCCAGCTATGAAACCTTAAACCTTTTAGCCCGCAGTCATTGATGGACTTTTCACTCTGCTAGCTTTCCTTTACCCGGGTGTAAATAGCCGAGCGGAATTAGTGCTCTCGCTGCACGCGTTGCTCGGAGATAATGAACATTTCAGCTACCAGTAAAAACGATATAGAGATAATTCAGTACCTGCTGTTTGAACATTCTTTTAGAAACATGCTTGACTTTTTCACCGCCTTTGAAGCCTGTCTCAATCTCATCCTTACATGGGATATGTAGCAATCCTGGACAACGGCCGCACATTTCTCTATGCTAGTAAAAGCTTTAAGAACCGAAACAGCGTCTTCATCCCGTAAAATTGTTTCCATGATGCATTTGCACACATCTTGAACGAGAATTCTGTTTCCAAAGTTCAAAGAACACTGCATTATCGCATCGACTGCTTCATAAACTGCTACAATCTTATCCACGCCACTGATACTGCTGAGACACTTCTTGTTGATGGTTTTGGTGATAACCCACAACTTACAGATGTCCACCTTTCGTGGGAGTGGGGCTTTATGCCAATCTTCCTTAAACATGTCCTTATTTAGAATTTCAAGTAGTAAATCTTGATGAGGAACAGACTTTGACTTGGAAAGCTCCACGAGTATGTCAAGAACTTCATACCTTTCCAAATATTTTTCTGAAATGACTGACTTAAGGAATATTTTTACGTGCTCATCATTTAACTCTTCGTCTGACTTGGCATATTTAATCAATGTTGAGAACAGAAATTTGTGCATTCTGCCACGGACCTCCTCCGGAATTTTATACAATCCAACTAACTTTGCACCTACACTTGTGTTAGTAGCTCGCATTGTTTCCTGATAGAATGAGGCAAAAAAATTGACTTTTTTACCTTCATCGGTAAAGAACTGGCAGACGTCGGAATTTTTAAATAGCTCCATAGCAGCGTCCGAAGTAGGATTGTTTCTTAGCACCCGATATAGTAAATCTTGGTGGCCGATGCGATCATTATCATTTTCTATTTTTATATTTACAAGGAGTGCAGCGACTATTTTCTTGTATTCATTTCCATAATATTCGTAATTTAGATCCTTATTATGTTCTTTGTCCAAGACAAATTCGATTCCAAGATAGGGATAAGAATGTGCTGCAAGGGTAAGCCATCCTGGACTGCTACTGTGTACTACCAAAGTAATGGCAATCTTTTTTAAGCATTCGAGATCTGATTTTGAAAGAAAATTGGAATCAACGCAGGCGTTTAAACATTGAAGCAAGCGATCGCACGCTTTAGCTGTCTTGTTGTCGTTTGGAAACGGTAGTGAGGACGAAGAGTAGTTCAGGTGACCCAGGACAATACATAAATACAGTCGCTGTACGTCTGAACCAGAAAGGTCTAAAGCATATTCCACAATCCAATTCACACATTCTTTCACATGTTTTGTGCTCAACGTAATGAAATGAAAACTTTCGATATGATTAAGAAGGTCAGAAATATTTGAAGGATTAACACACGGTAACAGTAACTTTAGGTAGGAGAATATAGCTTTGGGAACAGTCTCACTTAAATACTCCTTGTCTTGTGGAAAACGAAATACATCATACTGGGTTTGTGACTTTGCGTCCCTATCACTAGATTCGTCAAAGCATGTGGGATCTGTGCTGAACATTCTAAAGTGACTAAGGAAAGGAAACTTAGAGTCATGTCCCTTTTCGATAAATCTGTATTTATACTTTAAACCGTTATTGATGGGATCACCAGGTAACGTTGCGCTATATCTCCACAGATTATAACGTCTATTAACAAGTGTCAGTTCTTTAATTTCATCAGGACCAAGATGGATGAAAGCCTGATCAACGGAATATTCTCCAAGGATCAAGAGATAGAAATTAACCTAAATAAAATGAAAATTCGCAACTTTCGTCGTCGTTCTAAAACTAGGCCGTCTAGACTAGGGTATTGAAAGGGCACGGATTCCCTACGTACACTGTTATTTTTTACGTTTACTAAAAGTTGTTATGTGCTGTTTAATAAACAAGCATGCAGGAGTGTTTTATCAGGTTTAAAGTCACTGCACGTGGCATATTATGGTTGACATGATTTGACAATAAGCTTATGAATTATTAGTGTCTAGTGAGTGTTTGAATGAAATATGATGTAATGATCGTGTAATGCGTCTTAAAAACCATCATTCAAAAGGCTGAACTGAACCTTTCACAGTCAATAAAATCAAAGTGCAGTATTAAGAAACAACAAATTGTAAACTAAATTGTAGGGGACGATTTAACAAGGATATAGAAACCCATTTGAAGAAGTTTTAAATAGGAATAAATGTTGAACTTTGAACTGCTAATGAGGAGGATAGCTGAATCGTCGTTCATGATTGCACAATATATCGGTATATGACGTAATGTGAACATGCAGTTATTCAACATGTTGCCTGTTCCTTACCTTTGTTGACGTTGACGTTGGTGATGGTATGCTATATGGTTTTTGTTCTGAACAACTTCTTTGTGCGTTTCCTTGTGTTCGTACAGCTTGCGAATAACTTTTTTGTGCGTTTCCTGGTGTATCCGCAGCTTGTGAATTACTTCTTTGCGTGTTTCCTAGCGTGTGTGCAGCTTGTGAATAACTTTTTTGCGTGTTTTCCTCGGTTATGGTGAAAGTATGATCTCGTACAGAATTTCTCTGGCCGCTGCTTCCATACTGAAAAGGGTTTGAGTGTTTCATTTCTTTTGTCTCTTCTTTACTGCGATTCTGTTGGATTTGTTCACTCCCTAACTGGTCATTCTCTCCTTGTACAGTCCCAGAAGTTTTATTATTTATTTTTTGTGATTCTCGACTGGTTACCACTTTGCTATTCTCAGTATTGTTGCCTTTCTTTTTCTGTAACTCTGGTTCGCCCTTGCGGCTGTGAGTATATGTGGGTTTCCACTCCGGCTGACCACTACTTCCGACATTACGATCTTCTTTCTTTTTCTGATCTGCATTAGTTTGGATATTTTCTCTTGGGAAATCCGGCCCAAGTGCCCTGGCATCACCCACAGGTGTGCGTGCTTCTGATCTGTCATCATCCTCTGTCGGTGTCTTTGGTTTAGGGGGATGATCTTGGTCAGCCATCCAAACTAAAATTGTATATTAACAAGTTTGGAAAACCAATTAGGAAAGCTAGGAATGCAACAAGAAATATCAATAGACATGTTAATAACTTCTATATTAAACCGAGCCCGTAGGGCGAGGTTTGTACAAAAAGACCGAGGTCCGATATTTCTCTGTACATACCGAGCAAGCGAGGTTAATAAAAAGTTTATTATATGGCATTTATAGACATTTATACTTGAAACAAACAAGAAATGCATGATCTGAAATGCATATTAGTAGCGTGGTACACATTTGATCGAAGAAAACAAAAAATACCAATGTATTCCATCTTTTCCACTTAAAACCATTTGCAGATATCTTATCAATAACAAACTAAATTATAATTTTCAAATTTTCTATTAGTTTTGCTGTTTTGTTTTAAAATGCATGTGTTTGTTTTTACGTGATGGACCGCCGGTCCATTACGGGAAAATAATGGACCGCTGAAAGTGCTCTTCCGATCTAATCGCAGTCCGCCATTTCACCGGAAGTGATGCTTGCCATATAATAAATAATGGTCAGTTTTGATTTAGGGTCAGGTTTGAGGATACTTAAAAATCAATAATATGAATGCGCTATGTCAATTTTTTTCGACTTAGCCTTGAAATAGTTATTACATTATTGTTCTCTTGAGTAGATTCCAGCTGCACTCGCCCATAATATAGTTTTATATTCAGATGTCTGGCTTGTATAGAATTTCTCCCTTGCATGCCCGTGACACACAGGCAAAATTCGTTACGGCACTGCAAGCCATTATATAGATGTGTGATGAACTCTGAACAGTATTAACTACAATCGGTAATATATATATATTTAGAAATACTAGGAACATAACCATATATGGTATAATCGTTACCAATTAGGTTGTTATTGTACAAGAGATGGGGAGAGACAAGTTTACAAGGTTTTGAGACAAGTGATTTCGTATTTTTCGTATTGTTTGCATATATAATAAATATTTAATACTAAAACGAGTGAAGATTTGTATATCGAGGACAACTTTGGTATAGATACCTTAATCAATTATACTTCGCTTACACGTTTGCTATGGTCAGGGCCGTAGCGAGGGGGGTATTGGGGAGGGGAGTTAACCCCCCCCCCCCCCCAACTTTTTTAGAATCAACATATTCGGAAAATTGGGTTGGCCATTCGGAAAATTACGGCAATAATAGTAGAACAAAATTTTAGTTGTTAAACATAGAAAATATTATAAAATTGTGTTGTCAATATAAACTGATTTACGAAATTATGAAATTATGGCATTTATATGGTAACACTGTTTAAAAAATCGTAAATCGGTAAATGGTTTTCGATTTATTACTTCTCAGGGCCGTAGCAACGTGGAGGGGGGGGGGGGG